CGTTGATCAATCCCTGAGGGATGCGCCATACATTCGACTTCGTAAAGCATCGTTTAGAGGTGATTAAATGCATATCTGGCCTTTACACTCGCGGTGGCCTATCGATGTATAGAGCCGGTGCTGCTATCTTCCCAGACAAGTCTGGTGCCAAATTGCCGACCCCGGAGGGATGGGATGCTTGGTGGGCCATGGGGGCGGGAATCGATTCCACGTGTGTGTTGCCCAAGATATATAATGCATAAATATTAGTAATAATGAAACAAATATCATGATATAAAAAATAAATATAAATGTATACATTGCAGAGTCATTCGATACGTTAGTGGGTAGGGCGGAAACGTCAAAGGACTCCATCAAGCACGCGTTGCTAGGGAACGCGTTACGTAGACATTATAGGAAAATATGGGTGTAGGTGAGTTGAGCTAGAATATGCTTAAGCAACTGGATAAGTCTTACGCTTAAAAACCATGCTATTCTACCCGTAGGCCCGTCTACACAGCTGATAATGGGGTTTTCCTTGTACAGTGATGGATTGTTAGAGATGCAAGATCATCAGCCAGCCATTGCTGAGAGACTTACATGAAGGGTCAATTATTCGTTGAATAAACTCTTGGAAATAAGTGTTCATATAGTCAGAATGCATATAGTTTCTACTTTACAGATGAAGTTGACCTGCCGACTCAAATAACCAAGGCATATTGTATAAACGACTTAAGCAAACTTTTGCCCACTCTCTTCGTCATGTAACTAACTCAATCTGAGCCAAGCATTACATCCTCAACCGCATTTCTTTAACAGTGCTAAAAAAACAGCGCTTTATAGACGGCTTATTGCTCCAGTGGAAGTGATCAGCCGATTGCTGGTTCGTTCCTATAAAAGTGACCGTTATCTTTGAGAAAATATCCTTGCATGAGCAGTCCGATGTGAAAGCGCAGCTATGAGGAGTAACGCCATAATTTCGTTATTTCCGCTGAGCATTCTATGCTTTTTTCGTTAAGCACTAGAGAATGTTCTCAGAAGCACCATGGCGTGTAGAATTTGGGCGGATTGCATGAAAAAGGAAATAAGTTAAGTCCGCAACAATGAAGGTTTTTGGAAAGTGTTAGCTCAGCAAGTGATTAGGAGTCGTTTCTCGGAGTGCGATCATGAAACGACTCTATATAGTTCGTCTCTCCGAGCGATCCTCTCATTTTCTACCGCCTTCTCGTCAGCGATTTCGAGCTGAGGTCGTAGGGGTATGGGCAAATTGCAGGAATGAAATAAATGTGCTAGAAATGGCGAAAGTGTGATAGAGAATCACCAGATCTCCAATAGTCAATGGCGTGGAATAGTTTGCAACTTGGTTGCTTTGCGAGAATTCTTCGAGGTTTTGCCAGAAGGCCAATGCTTTATAAAACACGGTCTTCAACTATTCAGCGTAAAATCTATAGCAATATCTTAGTGGAGAACAAATGTTTTGCTTTAGACAAATAACCACGTATTTCCTCGTTTTCATTTCGGGTGTATTCAGGGCATTCTATTCAACTACAAGTCACAATTGAAGCTCTCCTGCTCAAAATAGATATGAAATTCTTTTAGTGTAGAGGGACGAAATGACCCACATTAAAGTAAGTGGGACGTACTACCCAGTCGAAATTTTACAGATGGTAACAAAACCGACTTTCATGGAAACCGTGCAACGATAACAAATATTTTTCCAGACTACTGAAGTAATTAGGGGTTGCTAGAAATAAAAAGGATTTCTATTTGTCAAAGATTCGATGTCTTCATCCTACTCAGAGCTGAATTGATCAAAGTCAATGGTTCAAGATGTTTGCTCTTGCGCTTTGACTGGCCGTAATTCCATCGAATCGAATCCACTGCAGTCGACCACCATTCGAGTGAAGGATCTCTCTCGATGGTGCGCTTTTATACACTGGGATGTTGACGTATCGCCGTCTCCAAATATGATCTGCTTATCTGACTGAAATGCGTTTTCTACCGGTAGGTGTTTCATTAGCGGTACTTAACGAAGCGATACCTCAAAAACCGACCTTCATTAAATTTCGTCAGCGATAATCGGAATTTTTCTGGGAAAAAATTACGAAGCACTAGCTTGAATAAATCTTTTTTTCTAAATCCCAACTACGTGTAGCTCAATAACCTGGAAAAGTATCGTTTTGCATGGAATCAAACCGTGGTCTTTTCGCGCAATATTCCTCTAATCTTAAAAAAGAGAATACGAAGGAGAACTCAAGAGAGAAAATCCCAAAACGGTTGTGGTTGTTCTTGAAGATATTTTGTCGGCAATATCAACAAAGAAATACGAAGCTATCAAACAGGCTATCCTACCTGTGCGAAATTGTCAGGATAAAATTGGACTCTAATGTTTGAAAAATCTACTACTCCTCCATATCAATAAGCCACCTTAGTTTCTCACAGGTTACCTATTAACCTGAATGGTACCAAAATTCATTAAACTGAGCGGTACCTTGTCGTTGCACAAAAGAGAAGGCTGCGCAGCTTCGTCTAAATTGTTTGCTCTCTACTGTTTGCGAGCGGTTCACTAGAGACATCCTTATTAGGATTAACAAAACAGTGAACCAAGGACAGCCCTACGAATAAGCCAGATTTTGATAGGCGTCCAATGCCATTGATTATATCCGCAACGAAATCCATTTAAATAATTCCAGAGTAAAAGATGGGGCATTATCATAGTTTAGTTGAGAAACAATACCTTCGACTCACTTGGTGAAGAAGTGATGATGTAAGCTCTGAACAGTTACGACTTCTCACTAATAAACAATTTCTCAAGGGCAATATAAACACTTTAAAGCACAAACATCTACTATTATACAAAAGCAGCAGCATCGGAACAATGAGAAAGAAACGGAAATATGTTAACAGGGAAACACAATGTGGCAACACCTCTCCATGTTACTCATAGCCTCTCTCGAGAACGTCGTGCCAACACTGACATGAATTAATTTGGTGATGGAAAATAATCACCAGCGGATGCATCATCTTCTCCTTGCCGATGACATTGTTTTCATAGCAAAATATACCAGCTAAGCGGTTCAAATTCTCCTCAACTTCCAGAAGGCTTCCGTGGAATTCGTGGCTGGTGGGTGCGAAGAAATGAATCGAATTCGAAAAGTTCCGGGATCCACACAAAACGATATCTATGAAATGACATCATTGCAAAAAAAAAGCTAGTCCAGTTTTTCTGTATGTATTAAAATAAAATGAATTCAATCGTTGACGTGATTGAAGAAATATCTATAATATCAAAGATGCTGAGATATTTGCAAAACTCCGGACCGCAGGTGTATGCGGTGGGGAACGAACGCGCAATTGTCCTTTCCCGGAAGTAACGCGTTCACCACCACACCATGCGGGTCCTTCGTTTGATGATTACTGTGCCAAAAATCGATTGAACTAGCTGAGAGACAGGCGAAACGAATAACCCGCATGGTGTGGTGGTGAACGCGTTACTCCCCGGCAAGGGTAATAGTGAGTTCGTTCCCCACCGCATACACCTGCGGTCCGGAGTTTTGCAAATATCTCAACATCATTGAAGTTATATTTCGCAACATACGCTGCCATTAAAGAAAGAGTAGGCAGTAAATAATAAGTTGAAATTAATGCCTATAATGTTCCAGAGTTACCCCTACTTGATCACCAAGTTGTTTGTTGAGGAGGTTGATTAAAGCTCACTGAATTGAAAAGGATCAAGAATGAGCCGTCTCTTTAACAAATTATTGCAACAAACTCTGGTATAAGCTGTGAGATATCTTCGGTCACATTCAGAATCTTCAATCCTTTCCCACTGAAGTTCATTGAGTTGTCAAGTTTGAGTAAAGGAATAAGGTATCTATTGCTGTGCCGTAGCTAAAGCCGTTCAATAGCATAGTGTTCAATGTGAATTTCGCCTTCAATTTTCATTTTACGATCTTTCCTTATCTAACAATAATCACAGGTACAAAAAGGTACAAAAAATTGCAGAAAGATTTATTGCTTCACAGAAATTCCAACAAAAAGAATATTTTCATTAACTCGAGGGCACGGTTGTTATTTGTTTGGTGTTGCTGTTTGTTTGTTTGTTGCCATTGATCTGTTCTGGAACGCTTCCACGAGGAATCCGATTGCCTGAATAAACGTCCCACTGCAGCGTATGTTGAAAGTTTTCTGCATAGTTATTTCCTCTTTGAAGTATTCCAGGAACCCACTAATTTCAACATCCATGCGACCAATTTTCTCTCGTTTATGAAGTGATTCATTGAATGCTAAGGTATAAGGTTTAAAGAAAACCCTTGGATAAACATTGGAAATAAATCAAAAAGTTTTGAGCAGATGAAAATGAAGCGTATTCAAATTACTGGTTGAGTTCTGGCGCAACGTCTTGCACAGTGTACTGACACTACCGGCGTTTTCTCTCGTTTTTCTTTTTCCGACCTCGAATAGGGGAATCCGTGTTGAGAACACAATCGCGCTCACGCTTGCGATGGTGCTGGACTTGAAAGCTCTATAAAATCCCACCTGATCACAAGTCGTTGCATTGTTCGTCGCCTTCAGAATGGTAGTAATGTTATGTATGGCTCCAAGTAACATGGTTTCACTGCAACCCATTGTTTCGAGACGCTAAAAAGAACTGGTATGGTGAGGGCAATCGTTCACAGATTTCTGACTTCTTATGGTGCGTAACTTTCAAACGTCTCATTGCTATTTGCGCATATTCTTTACATTTCTTCCAAACTTTTGAAAGGACTGTAAAAAATGAACTTATGACGCAACCTATCAAACTGTTTATACATAACTCCAGTAGATGGGTGAGGAAGCTGTCTGTCGGCTTTGCTGTTCAGTCAAACGAGTGAACTGTTAACAAGTATTGAAGAACAATGTCAGAAATGGCAACATTCTATCCATCTTTATCCTAGCCTGGTTACGGTTGACAAGCAGTCCGCCTTAGCGGCAGTTTCCTCTTTTAGCTACTCTAACTAGTCATGAAAACTCAAAGCAAACTATGCTTGTACCTGCAATCCTTCTGCCTGTGTAAGACATGCTGAGGCCGCTTCTCTTCGTCGTCTTTCCTTAGGTTTTTCTGTTGTCGGCGTGGGTGCTCCTCCTCCGCCGGCTCCAGATCCTCCTCCTGCACCAGGAGTAGGCTGTGGAGCACATGCCTAACCGATAAAAAGCGTCTCAACAGCACTTATCGAAGGGATCGTAGTCCTTTATTAGAAAATACTAACTTACCAGTACAGTACTGACAAGAGCGATCAGAAAGAATAGACGAGTCATGTTCAATCCAGAAGCCGATGTTGCTGCAACGATCCGTCGGCTTTTAAATCGTTTTCAGTTATTGAAATCGTTGCAAATCCTATTAATCTCCACATTACATAAATGAAAGTGGCACTTGTTGGCGTTATGGCTGTCAAAGTAAATAGTTATTTTCTATTGAAAATGTCAAATTATCGATTACTTAACGACTTATCGATGAACCTTTTCATCAGCTCGAGGAATTCCGGAGGATTATGAAATTTGTTCGAAATGTCTGGAAAGGCAAGCACTGTGGTTACTCTGCTGTTCTCCTCTGAGCTGCCCTATTTTGTGTACTTTGTGTTCTTTCTTGGTGTGCGCTTCTCCTATCCAATTTTTCTTCCTTTCAAAATGAATGTCTGGAGTTAACCAATTACCAGCCGTTCGGTTATTTGTTCGTCTCATTTACTTAACGTGTTCACAGCCAAAGTAAACAGAGAACAATACTGTGACGAACGAAAGCCGTCTAGCAAAAGGAGCCATCACCTAACGAAAAATGTTTGTCATTCCATCAATGGATTTCGCAGTGCTTCTACCCTGCTTCTCTTACTGTTTGGTGTTATTTGGTTGCCACAAAGCATCGTATTCAACTGCTTCGTCATATCAATGATAAACTCCATTTCGTTTTCCCTAATAAAGTGAGCTAATATTACTAATTTAAATAAGAAATGTTTCTTGTCTAAATCTCTTTTACTGCAGAGGATTCTTACTGAATGGATTTCACCTCCTCACTAACGGTGGAAATCTGATGTGTGCTGGTGATTTGATACTGTCACCGACGATGATCGTATTTGCGTCATTTCTGTGGGCAAAATATTAGACACCATCCAAAGTGCCGTTTTTTAAAGTCAATGCCACGTGCTCCTCGAAATCTGTAACATTTAGTTTGAGGAAGATGTGTTCATTATCACCTCGAACAAACTTCCGGAAATGTTTCGTCGAAAGTATTTAACTAACTCTTCTCAAATGTCTTCCTGTTGGTGCCCAGCTTCTGAGTCTGAACAAGAACAAACTAAAGCATTTCTATGTTTTTTGGAAAAGACAGTAGCTCTTGCGTAGCTATTGAGTTATTTTACTATAGTTCTATCATACTGTATTATATATTATACTACTATACTATTTCTTATACTGTAGCTACTATACTATTTCTTATACTGCAGCTACTGGTTATACGAGTTTAGAGGCAGACGAAGGTTAGGAGATAGGCCTAGGATTTCACACCGCATCGTTGAACGAAGATCATCATTGTACTTTTGGCGTGGAAAGGTTGTTGGAAAAGAACTTCCTTCCGGATCTGTGAGATCCTTAGATAAACGAAATACATACGACATATCCTGTCGCATAAGTTGATATTACCTCGTGACCTTACGTCTACCAATCCATCATTCTACAAGGGTAACTCATTATCAGCCGATGTAATCCTCGTGTTACTCAGAAATCTAAGAAGAATATTGATTAAACCAAGATACGCTAGTGAGAGAATATTGGAATTTTTGCTATCTGAATGCGAAATTCCACTTATCTTCCTTTCGGAAATAATTGGTTATTTTTGCTTAGGTACAATGAAAGTGGGTTTGAAAGATAGCACGATGAACATGGGAAAATGAGATAAAATGGAAAGAAAGAAAGCTAACGATAGCAAGAATTCTATGGAATTAAGTACTAGTACTACATGACGCAATGCTAGAAGGAATGTGCTAACAAATTAGTAAATACATCTCTAGATAGTGTCAATGGAGTGAGTGTAGCTATTGAGCCAAAGAGGATTGGAGATATCTCTTCGCAAGGAGGAAATAGAGTGGCTGAATCTTGCCTATGTTTTGGTAAGGATGGCTGTAATACGAAATCCATACTTGGCAATCGACAAGAACTTGTAGTACTAGCTAATTTCGTAATACAACAGGTAACAATTCAGCATGGAAGGGTATAAAAAGTTAAATACAATCACAATGGTGCTGGGAGATTTGCAAAACTCCTTACCGGAGCTGTCCGCGGTGGGAATCGAACATGCTATTACTTTTTGCGATGTCTAAAAAGTTCACCACCGTGCCATGCGGGTCCTTCGTTTCGCTTTTGTCTCAGCTAGTTTCCTATCTACTAGTGCTATCAGCAATCACCCATCAACATGATTGATCTGGCGGAAAAGGGAATAACGTGTTCGATGCCTACACCTGCGGTCCGGAGTTTTGCGGATATCTCTGAATCATTATGGTTGTATTTCACATAATACGCTGCTGTGTAGGATTTTAGTGGGCAATAAATAAAAAGTCAACAGCATAGAAAGTGTTGAAGCGGAGAAAATATTCCTACGTGCTAGATAATAATCTCTATGGTACGATCTGATAACATTATGTATATATGTGTTTATGTACAGGTATATATATGTATATATAAATGTATATGAATCTCTGCGGGCAACTTAAAACAATAGATCATGGCACATTCATCATGTGGAACACTGTGGAGAACGAATACAATATGTACGCCTGTTGTGTTCACTGGCCAAGTGGATAGTATGCTATTGGGACGGAATTGTACACAGGTGTTCAGATTCATCGCCGACTTTACCGAGCTCGATAGTTGTTCTGAGGGGCTTTGGAGTATGAATAATGGCATAAATCGTTGACAATCCTCGAACTTTCACCCAATATTAATCAGCTCAGGTTGAATATATGTGTGGTTCAACATTTTTGATAACTTGCGCCTTCCTATCTTCTGGCAAAGCTTTAGAGGGATTTTGTCGAATGGTACCAAAAAGTCGTTCCTACAGCCTCATGCGGTATTAATGGCAAGTCTTACAAGTGAAATTTTTGGGAGTAACAAATAATGAGTTATACTGGGAGCAATTTTCCGAAGAACTCAGAGAAGTTTCATGTTTTACTAGAGTGACAATCAAGAAACATAAAATGTGAGAAATGCCGTCATTCGTTGTCGTGGAAAGTTCACCAGAATTTTTCAGCTATTTTCGCTCGGAAAAGCGTCATGGAAATCATATTTTCGACTTTCTTCATTGTTATGGTCAGAAGAAGTTATCACATAAACTCAAACGTTCACGTTTTCGTCTAGGATTTTCGTAGGAAATCATATCAGTACGAGGTGAATGGTGGTTTTTATGTGGGATCACATCTCGCTCTCAACCACTAGGGGCGTTCGAAGAAATGTTATCGCTAAATTATGGCAACTCTGCTCATCTGATTTCCAATACATACGTTTTCAACCTCTGACGCCAAGTATGGATTTCGTATTACAGCCATCCTTACCAAAACATAGGTAAGATTCAGCCACTTTATTTCCTCCTTGCGAAGAGATATCTCCAATCCTCTTTGGCTCAATAGCTACACTCACTCCATTGACACTATCTAGAGATGTATTTACTAATTTGTTAGCACATTCCTTCTAGCATTGCGTCATGTAGTACTAGTACTTAATTCCATAGAATTCTTGCTATCGTTAGCTTTCTTTCTTTCCATTTTATCTCATTTTCCCATGTTCATCGTGCTATCTTTCAAACCCACTTTCATTGTACCTAAGCAAAAATAACCAATTATTTCCGAAAGGAAGATAAGTGGAATTTCGCATTCAGACACCAAAAATTCCAATATTCTCTCACTAGCGTATCTTGCTTTAATCAATATTTTTCTTAGACTTCTGAGTAACACGAGGGTAGTGTCGGTAAAAAAAAATTTATTAGGTTAACCTTCTGGCCCTCTCTACTTTTTCAGCGCCATATTTCCCAGTCGATTATCCACATCCGGTTCTCTTTGAGCAAGAACGATAAGTTGCTTTTCCTTTCGCTTGATCCTTCGTGCATGTGCATGTAAGAGTTGTGCTACCATAGGAAATCGACCGACCCTCATCCTTGATAAAAGGCACCGCCCAGTGGAGTTCCGCCATTCGAGAGTTGCTCCTACTCCACTGATTCTCTCCTCTCCTCCACTCAACTGTACTCTCTGGATACTTTGTTTTTGTTTCCCCTTTCTTTGTTGCTGAGGTTATTATCTAAATGACTAGCAGTCCCAGGACCATCATTAGCCAGTTATTATCGTGCCATTGTTATTTTTTCTACTAAATATAAGACGCTACATAAACTTTCTGTCCTTTGTCTTGCGTCAGTTTATGGCCACACAACAGACAAGTTTTTTGCGCTTTTTCATTTTATCCATGGTTAGAAACTTGTTTGTCTCGGTACATTCTATATTCCTCGTCCTATTGTTTTTTAAGTCTCCCGTCTCCCAAATCGCTTTTAAATTGATAAATTTCAGATCATTGGATTGCTGCAAGTCGCCCAACGTATCCAGTTGCCAACTCAAACGAGCAGCTTAATAGCTTTTCGGACTTTAAGTGGCAGGATCTCTAGTTATTGTTTCGGTTTTCGTCTATTGTAATCTGCTCAGCATCCCTTTTCAATATCTTCTACGCGTGATGCTTTCAGATCTGATTTTCGGACTCCATGGCTTTCACATTGTCGCTCGAACTCAACGAGGAATCTCGCTAATATCGGAGGACAATGTCACGTCACGCGCCGAAACAGCACTGCTTGTCCTGTCAATTCTCAGGAGCTATCCGTTTTACTAGCGGTTGACACCTCTGTGAGACCAAGAGCTATTTTGTTTTCTTTTTTCGGCATTACAGAATACGGGAAACCCAAAGTTAAAGGGCACATCTTCCTGTTCTCTAAATGATAACCTGTGTTCCTTATCGACCGAAAACCATACTTCGACCAATACTGGCACAGTTGCATGTGGTCTTGAAGAGTCGCCGTCATCGACTACTTTTGACTGAATTACTCATAACGTGGTTTTTTGGTAGACTGGAAAAATATCATGTGAGCATCATATACTACGTTTAAAGCGATTCAGCGAAGTGATTTTATGAGTCTGAAGTTCAGACCTGCTTCATTAACCCGAAATTACTGTCGGTTGTCGAAAAACAGACGTATTACCCTTGTGACGTCAGATGGGATTTGCTTGTTTAGGAAGTAATCGTAATCCTGTTCGGAAGGCAATAGTGTTTACTCTCACTCTTGTTTGTTGTTGGAAGTGCATCCATGGTCTCAGTGCTCCTGTCCAGTCGGGACAAGTTGCTCGCCGATGAAAAGTCATGTAATACGTTGGAAATTTACGAGATTCCTTCGAAACTAGTTTTTTTCACTCGTTAAGCACCTTCATTAGTTTCTTCATATTGTAATCAATTTTCTCCCAAGCGCTTTTGCTTCATCCAGGTTTTACTAATTTTGACTATTAGTGGGATACACTATATTTCCCTTGATGCTAACGATTTCATTTCTAGACAAATCTTATATGAAGGTAACGTTTTCTTTCTCCGAATCAACTGATTTTCTTCCTTAATTCCTTTTTTTGTATTTAAAGTTTCAGCCATGATGGATTTACTCATAAATTTCACAGTATTAGTTTCAACCCCCGTGAAAAAAGGTCTGTTGAGTCGATGAGAGTGTGGGAAGGGTGCGAAGATATTCCATCGGCGGCTCAGATGTTGGTGTATCTTGTAGGCTCCAAATATTTCTTTTATTCGTCCATACCACTACTTTTCAGTGAAGCCGCTCTATTCCCACCTTCGTCCGACTTTTCTTCTCGACTATTTTTGTGCTTTGGTGTAGTTTTTGCAAATTTATTCGATTATCTAATACATATACTTATATACTTACTTGGATACTTGGGCGGTCCGTCCTCACTGGTTCTTCGAACCGCAGCATATTCTCCATTTTTCGGAGTTTTGCTGATTTAGCCATTGTGGTTCCCTGGAGCCCCGAGGTCAGCCTGACCAAAGTCTGCTCCAGGTATTCACCACCACAGGTAGTCGCCGGGTTTCGTGGATCGGTGAGAGATTTCCTATCATGCGACTAGTTTCATAGCAGAGCGGTGGTAGATCCTGGTATCGGTTTACTCCTAGCTGGGTTTCCCGATGAGAACGTCACACTCCTTCTCAGCTTGGGAGACACTGCCAAGTAGACGATTCCCCCTGCTGTACATCACAGGCCGACACCCAGGAACACCTCCCAACCACGCTGAGACGGTAAGTCGTTGGGAGGATTCGTATATAACACTTTAAGTAACAGGAATCGGTACTATTTACACAGCCCACTTGAATTAACGAGCTTCAAGCATTGACTCTCGATCTACAGAATCGTGATTCACTTCATTGCTGGGGATTACTTTGCCTTAAAATTAGAGATTCTGATTGTTCCGTTTGAGCGAGTGTTATAGGTGGCGCTGACATGCAATTTCGCACTGAACGTCGCGATCTTACTGGAATGAATCGGAGAGAAGTAGTATGTTACTAATGAACTAAGTCGTTCTTTGCTTCGGGATATTTCATTATCTTTTGTTATTTATTGCATAATACTGTCTTAACATGATAAATTTAACCCGAATAGGTTTAACAATTCGCCATTCCAAATATCTCTAACAGTTGCGTTAGTTGTATTTCTGGTAATGAATTTTGTCAATGTCAATTTGAATTTGCAGTGATCCTTTCGGCCCTGTTAGGATAACGCCTGACCAATATGCGTGGTCTAACGGTATCGTCGTTTGTCGTTAGAACACTCGTTGTATTGAACTGAAGGAAACTGTTGTGTTGTAAAGGCAAGTTTTGTGTGTAGCTTTCAAACTGCGTTTTTGACTCGACCTTAGCCGAGGCAGACTGTTTTCTCTCAAGCTGTCACAACGTTATTCGATCTTAATTTAGGTCTAATTTTTTCAAACGTTCATATGAAGTGTAGCTTCATTTCATTTCCAGTCCTTGATGAGAAGTTATTTAGATCAGAAGTCGTATTGCGGTTCTCTTGCCAGCATATATATATATATATATATATATATATATATATATATCGACTGACAAGGGAGGAAAGTTCTAATGGGCAGTAACAAGCCAAGTAATACTACAAATGGAATGGCGCATTTCGTTGGCGGTCAACAAAATCGCTCTATGAGAGGCTTCATTTTAAATTAAAGTTGTATTTTCAATTTTGCATTTTTTTTCAATATTTCAACCACTGCGCCACACACGTGAATAGAATGAACGATAAATAATTCCTCATCGTAAAGTTTATTACTGCCTCCCTACTCCAGTGTTGCATTTGTTGATAGCACTGAGATGTAGACGGCTAGAATAAAAATGGATCCTATTCTCACAACTAAATACGTCTAATGAGACCACTGGTCAGGTAATGAAGCTCCACAGAACTTCTCGAAGTTAAGCTTGTTGCGCAATTGTGACCTTTATCGTTGTCAAATAGAACCATCCAATTACAACATTTCCCAGCCCATCCACATTATGAAAGAAGTGCCCAGAAGTTGACAAAATCCACAAATAACTGCAGCGCATGCAACTGGATCAACACATAGTCACTATTTCTCTATCGAATTTGTACCTCATTGACAAAAAATTGTGGACTGAAGTGGTTTCCCGTTCCATTAATGAGATACATCAATGTAAGAGATATCTATACTTTAAAATGAAAACTAAACAATGACAGAAAACAAGTACCACGTAAATATTCCAAAATAAATGGTGGAAACTCATAGGACTCGTAAATAAAAGCATAAGGCTCTCGGCGTTGATCTATCTCTGAGGGATGCACTATATATTCGACTTCACTAAGTATCGTCAGAGGTGATTAAATGCATCTGGCCTTTACAATGACTCGCGGTGGCTTAGCGATGTATCAAGCCAGTGCTGCTATCCTCCCAGGCAAGTCTCGCACCATTTTGCCAACCTCGGAGGGATAAAAGGCTTGGCGGCCCATGGGCGTGGGAGTCGACCTCACGTGTATTGCAGGGCGCCTCCAACCATTGCGCCACACGAGACGGGAGTCATATGACCCGTAATCTTTTCACTATCCAGTGACTTGGGTGGGTACCAGTAGTCTCTGCTCCACTTTGTCGTGAGCTACAGTGCTTCAATGGGCTCATCTGCCCAAATGTTTTTGGCAAGGAGGTAACGTAGTTCATAATAGTCATCTGTGACATACAATTAGCCTTGGTTGTAGTTCGAAATAGTGTCAGTGTGTGAACAATGCAAACACTGAGCTTTGTTTTAGAAGCGGTGACTCTTTCACCCTTTATTGAATGCCGCTGATAAACACTCAAGAAGAGCTTCAGTACACTACGAGCCCTTTCAAGTTACCACCTCGAATAATTAAAAATCTCCACTCATTCACGGTTTCTAAGTGAAGAAAAAGCTTAGAACCAAGAGAAAAACCACATCAAAAAGATTGAAAACAAAACCCAAATCTTTATTGTAACAATTCTTTTTCTTGACCTTTTTGATAAAGATAGGCAGCAAAATCAGACTACTCATAATACTAGCAATAAGGCTTTCCTAAATACGAATACACCTATAGTTACATAGGTCTCAACGAGATTATATTTGGTACGGGATGTAACGTATGGTTTGAGGCGATAAAGTTTACGGATCCGGAAGGAAACTCGATCAGAGGTTTCAAATGAGATCCATACGATTCCACTAGACTATCAGTGTGTATTTCCAACACTCATAATACCTATGACCGGATAATACCTCTTAAAAACGTCAGAAACGTTTAGTTCCTTAGGATGGCGAACGTTTTGTACAACTTGTCCTGACTGACACATGAAAAAAAGGCTTCTACAATTGTAATCCACTATCGTTCCACTAAACAACCTGATTGAGTTGGAGGCACTGGCTACGATACAATGAGCGCACTGATCGAAATAACAGGAATTAAGCGTTCTGCAAAAACATGAGATACTGGGATACAATGTGGGAACATTTCCAAACTTTTGCTTCACAACAACCACTATCGTACAACAGTCACGAACTGAGGTAAATGAAACTCTCATCTATCACTAAAACTAGGGGATCTTTGCCCACTTCATAAAACGCGTTACAGTTCGACATGGTATATGCTGGCTCATCGCTTTCATGTTCAGCACCCGATCGTCGGTTAACAGAACCAAGTTGCGATAGATAATTGGGATTTCTCGACCTTGTGGCACTTTGAAATTGCTGAATGTGCCATCTGGAGCCGGCTCTAATTGAGTGAAATTCAAACACGAATGCAAAATACGGTCGTCATTCACCTGAAATTCGTCTAGTTATGGACTCATATCCAATCTAAATCAACACAAAATATAAATTTCACAAAAAAAAATGGAACCGAAAATTGGTAAACAAGACAATACCAATCACTCAGTAGAATACACAAAACATTCCCTTAATAATTAATTAAAACATGAGGAAAAACGTTAGAACACATGGCAACTCATTGATTAATGCGATTTGCAGGTGAACCTGCATATATCCGCATAACTTGTCACGCAAGATAAATTTAGCAGATCCTAAACGAGTAGAACTTAAAACAACAAATAGTTATGTGGACGAACCAAGTCACCGTCATCACCAGCTCTTTCACGGACCACAGCGATCGGTAGACGCTTCCCTCGCATAGTTAACGTGAACAATCGAGAAGTTTTCTTTTGCCGTGTCTGCTCGCGAAGCCATATCATAGCTTGGCGAGCACCTTCTGTAACGGCTTCAACACCAGAACTACCTTGCTCACCATGCTGTAGTTCGATAAGTTCTTCCACCACTAAAGTTGACATAATAAAATGAACTCATGACAGCGATTTCAGCGGTAAACTGAAAAAATTCTAAGAGCTATATCGTTGAAATCATTACAGAAACCTATTATAAGCACTTCAATCTTATTATTCATAACACCTCAGAAGGCGAAAGAAACATGATAACCTTAATACTTTGACAACCGTTGAGGTCTCGACGAATTTCGCATTTCCAGAAATGTTAACATAATTTTTCAGCTCTCTAGAGAAACGAATTCCATCGGAACGACAGTCAAAGTCCAATAAATCTGTGAACAACCTGGTGTCTCAGTAAGTATGAAGAGAGTTGTCTTCGTCTTGAGCAAATCAAAACTTCCATAAGGCTGCACAAGACATCACTCCATTAGCAACAGTTTCTCAGGTAGGAACTATAGTTATACTTGCAAATGTAAACGTCTCGCATGAAAACGAGGATATCCGAAAACATGTGGGTGGTAACACTGTTTGCCATAGAATTAGTAAGCTAACGGAATCTCGTAATGAGAAATGAAGTAGCTAAACAAACCGGTTGTTGGAATCAGCACTCGGAATCGTTCACACTGTAGAATTTTCTGAATTGCGCATAGTTGGTCGATAAACGCATTCGTATCAATTACCACATAGTAAGGCTTCACCTAAAATAACAAATGTGATTAAAACATTCAGCACTTAAATGACAACTGCATGAACATATGAAACGGTTCAAGGAAAAGAAAGCCCACAGTATCTTTTCACTGACCACTAACAACTGTTCATGTTTCTTTAGCTCCCTCTCCAACAGTTCCTCTCTGCTCGATGGCGGCGAAATACCAGATGATTTCTGTATGTAGGAAACAATAAACAGGGTAACAGATGATAAATACAATAAAAAGAGTAAAATAAATAATGATTATGTATTACTTACTTACTTGATACTTGAACGGCCCATCATCACTAGGTGTGCGAGTCCCAGCACAATCCCCATTTTTCGGAGATTTGCTGGTCACGCCATTGTGGCTCCCTGGAATCCTGAGGACAGCCTGGCCAAAGACTGCTCCCAGGTCGTCACTACGACAGGCAGTCTCAGCCTTTTTGGATCAGAGGGGGATTTCCCACCATGCGACTTTGACACCAGGACGGTGGTGGATCCTGTTATTGGTTTACTCTTAGCTAGGCTTCCTGATGGGAACGCCAGACTCCTTCTCAACTTGGGAGACCCTGCCGGGGGAACGAATCCCCCTGCTGCATATCGCAGTCCGACACTCAGGAACACCTCTCAGGCACCATGAAGCGGTAAACCGTTGGGAGAAAATATGTATTAACAACCAACAATACTATAAACGCCGTGAGTACTACATAACTCACTTCTAGACAGAACTTCACATTCACACTTCTTATAACACGCACAAGGGGCTCGTGTAAATCAGTGGTTAAAGGCGCTCTGCAATACATGCATAAATTCGAACCCGCGCCACGGACCCACCACGTCCTGCATTCCTCTGGGGTTGGCAAATTCGTGCCAGACCTGTGCGGGAAGATGGCAGCACTGACTCGACATATCGGTAGGCTACCTCGAGTCATTGTGTGGGCCAGATATGCATTCTAACGATGCTTAATGAAATCGAATGCAAGGGGCGTCTCTCAGGGATTGAGTAACGCCGACGGTGTCGTTCTTCTTATTTAGATGCTGACTGAAAATATCACTACACAAAAACACTCACCTTGCTTTGGTCGATAGATGCCATTTTAGACTGCTCCCGCAAAGTTCCATCAATGTGCTCGCTTCTCATGAATTTCCCTGATTTTTCGCAGAAGAAGAAACACGACAACTCCGAGCCGTCCAGATATTCAGCTGCCAGAAGCAATTGCGCTAGACGTATTTGCAGCGGAATGTGCTAAATACAGATCGTAAGTACTTCTCTTGACGAAAAAACTAAATTAATGAAATGAAAAATAACAGAAGTACGTGAAGAAAGAGACCTCCCTTATCAATCCTATGTACAGAAGAACATGTACAATTAAGTATTTCACATGTTCAAACAGTTTCATTCTTACAAGTAAATAAGCGCTAAGGTTTACATAAGATTTCATTAGAGGGTATAAAGAAACACAGAACATAGACGTACCGTTTCTACTGAATCGGCGGACGGACATGTATAATTAAGTATCCGTGGAAACGGAGGAAACACACTTGAAAACGACGAAATAAAAGCCAGCTCAGGAAGAATGCACGAATGACTTGTGTCTATGAAAAAAATATTAAGTTCGAAAAAGCAGCTAATGCGATAAAGAAAGTGGATATTCAAAGGTATGTACAACTTCAAAAAAAAATATATCTGCTGATAGATGTGATGATTAGGACAAATGCTCGTTACAACATGTTTTAAAAAGTTGAAAACTTCGAGCCACAACTTATTAAACTCGAACAGTTTGACACTACCTTAAGATCATGAAAACTTATCGAAGCCCATACATAAAATAATGGTTCATGAGTTGTATTAGTATTTACATAAGATATACGCTAATATAGGTTTTTTTTGACAAAGTGTTCGCAATTCCCATCTACCTGTGCTACTCATTATTTTCGCCAATTGACCACTGTCTTGCCATCGAATAAGTTCATTCGCAATCTCTGCCAGTAAGTGCCATGTGTCAATTTCAACAATGGATAGTGATAGCGGCTCTACAGACGGCATCGTACGATAAATTGCCGAAGCTATTGGACATGAGAACCATTCACAAAGCACACATACAGCTGGTAAAACTCGAGATATCTGGAAACAACAATCATTTACCCTAATTTCCCACTTCACCTCTAAATCTAGATACTTCTTAATTCAGTTAATCACTGTTACAAATGTAAAACAAGGAAAATAAAGAGCTCTGGCTCTTTAAAGCTATGGCTGTAGTTGAAATCACAATGTTTAACGTTTTGTTGCGAAACACGTGCGAAACAAAGGACCCGTATGGTGTGGTGGTGAACGCGTTACTCCCCGGAAAGGATAATAGCGCGTTCGTTCCCCACCATAGACACCTGCGGTCCAGAGTTTTGCAAATATCTCAGCAACGTTGTGGTTGTATTTCGCTTAGTAACCTGCCATGAAAATTATAGAAGGCAGAAAACAAAAACGTTAAACATTGTGATTTCAACTGCAGCCATAGCTTAACTGGGTTCTATGCCGATTTGCGCTCCCCAGATCAACCCCGCTGACGGGTGATTGCTGTGGCAAAAAGATCGATAGAAATAGCTGAGAGACGTGCGAAACAAAAGTTTTTTTCTAGTTTAATTAGTAGACTCCAACAGCAACCTAGACAGTTGTCTCTAAAATACGCAATGCCACAGACACGCTGGAAGGACGTTAACATTTTCAACACTGAAAAACAAAAAATGTCTCTGTAAAACCGCACCACATATGGAACTTCTAGAGGCTTTTTTATCCATGTGGAGATGTGCTCACGTCGTAAACTAATTACTCGCAATAGTGCACCAAACACAGTGACAAGCGCACGCACCGCTTGTTGTTGCTGAACACTGCATACGTCTTCGTCTCCTAAAAATCATTATGGCTAAATTACAGGACCCAGGATACCTCCTATTCAAAACATGTGAAGGAAATGAAAATGACTCCAACCAACGATTGCATTGCAGTGTACAGCATAAATAAATAACGCCACGATCTGAATGAGTTGTCCGGCTGTAACTGGAGAGCTTTCCTGTTCAACCAATGCTGCCAACTGAACAATGGCTCGTTCAGAAACACTAAACATAATAAAGTTTTAAGAAGAGAATTACCAACAGATTGCATAACTTTCTATTCACTGCCTATAAATTTTTCATGGCAGCGTATCATCTTTAGTGCAACCACAATGATGTTTAGATATTTGCAAAACTTGGACCCCAGGCCAGATTCGAAACCGCGATTACCCATTCCGGGGACTAATGTCTTACAGGCTCCACTACTTAGGCCTTTGATTTTCCTTTCTCTCAGCCAGTTTTTCCCGGTTTCTCAGGAAGAAAAAAATAAAGAGCAGTAAAGAAGCAAAGAAAAAATTATAGCTTGTGATTTCGACTGTAGCCTAAGCTTAACTGGGTTCGATGTCAATTTGTGCTCCCCAGATCATTCCTGTTGTTGGTGGGTGATTGCTGATAGCACCGTTAGAGTAAAAAACCGACTAAGAGAAAGGCAAAACGAGGGTCTCAGTGGTTCAGTGGAACAGGAACTCACGGAAAAAGTAACCGCGGATTCGAATCAGCCCTGGGACCCGAGTTTTGCAAATCGTTAGTATCGTTTCGGTTATTAATCGATTATTTTATCGTCTGTCAAAATACGCAGTAAGTCTCTTCACTGCTTTATCAACCGCTAAAAACTCCAGTGCTTTACGAAGTGTTGAAAAATTCAGGATACAAATTATTACAACACGCTGTTTGATGGGGAAGACTTGGTACACTAAAGCACTTATTGAACCAAAGTTATTTAGTAAGTGGGCCACGTTTTAAAGACACGATATCACGTCAGCATGAATTGAGTAAAAGAATGTCTACCACTTTCCTCACTATCGTGTTAATTTCAAACGTTAACACTCTCACCCATTAAATGACAATCCCCAATGAAGCTGACTCCCTCCAACTTACAAAATATGGCGTCTTCATATGATACAAATCTGGGAACACCCTAGGACGGCAATCCCGGGATTCCAAGGAGAACCGACCCGACCAATGTTCATGAAGAACACAAAAATCCTTAAGCGCTGATCGAACACACAAATCCGAAGTTTCGTCGATATGGATGCTAGGAAAGAAATCGAATACAGGCTGGGATATGAACATGTGATGCCGGGTCATGCATCAAAAGAAATCCTCACCTTGGAAATGACTCCATATCAATTTTAGTGACTAACAGACCTACAGTGTTGATCACATAAGAAATAGCACGGCGATGTAACTGAAAAATGGAAACGAAAACTTCACATCAAAACCACTACAATTGAAAACTCTTATGACAACTTGTCAGTACTAATGCAAACGAAGTCCAAACAATCCAATGAAGATGGATTTAAAGTTTACTTATCGATAGAAAGATGAAAAGAAGCAGAACCTTGTTCAAATCATAAAAAAAAATACTCACTTTGCTAGGTTGTTGCTCCAGGAACGACCGAAAAATATGTGCATCTTCTTCGTTCGTTTCGATATCTGAGCCTTCATTGTCTAGCCAGAGCTCATATGGCCTGTCTGCACTCGCCGCCAATTCAGCATCTTCTTTAACTTCTCCACATTCATGGTCGAGCAACGGTTCATATTTATCTACCTCAAACCGCACAAGCTTTTATATAAGCAATTGGAAATGAACAGAACCGACAACACACCTTTCGCTTCATAGCTGCCAAACGAGCGCAAAGTCGATCACGAGCAACTTCGAACGGATGACCAGCCGAAAGAGCACGAACGCAATAGAAAATTTCATCTAACGCATGACCCTGAAAAACCTAGGATACCTTTGCTTCCTGAAACAAACTTGTTTCTTGAAAATTTTCTTTTAGGACACAGTTAAAATACTAAAAACTAGATCTCTACATTTGAAAATTAAACAGTTTAAAATTCGGACGAAAGTAAACGGTAGCACACACACTAACTGGAATAATAGGAAATTAGCACAATTGGAATCAGTACATGAAGATATATGTGGAAAATCCTTAGTTTCTAGCTGATTTAGCTTGCTACATTGTCCTTGAGTGGTCGGCTGATTACTCGCAAGATTCCCTGTCGTCTTAAAGAAAACCCAATCGCAATGCAGCAAATCTCTATTAGATTTACAAAGACTGGCAATTGCTTGTGGTAATAAACTGAGTATACCCTAGAACGCCTTTCTCGGGGTGTCAGCAACAATTATGGTCAACAGTATTCGAACCGCTAACAAAAGAAAAGCATAGCTCCAAGTAGCCGCGGAAAACATACATGAGCTCGACTATCTCCAAGGCTGACGACAGCAAGGTGAAACAACATATGGAACGAGTTCCAAAGACGGGCATGACATATGAAAATGGACCGACCGAATATCTAAGCATGGCTCAATATCTATGTCAAATGTTTAAAGAAAACTATTAGTTAATTATCGATCTCATCAAAGTGTAACAGCAAACAACCGTACGACTCCGACGCTACACAGTAGAAAGGGTCTTTGTTTGAGATGAACCGAGACCACTGCAATCGCCATCCGTGCACAACCGTACGACCGCATTGTGGAAGATGGAGGCGGCACATAGCCAGCAAAAACCCCAAAGATAGCACGTAGCCGGCAAAGGGTCCAAAGCGCTTGGAGACTTATTCTCTAACGCAAATATGCACAAATCATGCCTCAGTAAAGAAAAGGAACTAGATTTCAAAGTGTTACCAAGCAGCCTACTTAGCCAACGATGCACCTTTAACGTTTGGTTGAACACGATTTTACTAGTGTGCACCTCAAAATCTCATGGATGTCCAAACTTGATATCGTAAAAAAAATTCAAAGCATACACTCAATTTCAAAATATGTAGGCCCTGCACCTTTTCTCAGCACAATTTTCGGAAAGACACTAGGTTGTTCAGGAATAAATGGGCGCTTTTCACTATATTGTTTAAAATATCATAGCTGCTTCAAACAAAACTTTATTAACCAAAACAAAAACCACTTCAATCTACACATTATTTGCCAACGAGAAACAAGTTTATTTATCTCAGTTGCGAAAAATTCTAGAGTTCTGGGAGCGATGAATTCCTTGAAAGCACTTTCTGCGTCATCGTGGTGGGTGAAGCATTTCTCGCGCAGGAAGTTGTCAAGGTCCTTGAAGAAATGAAAGCCGGTAGGCGAGAGTCTCATGTGGCGGATGAGGCAAAGTTTTGTTGCCCAACTAGTTCAACTTCTGCAGCGCTCGTTCCGCAACGGGAGAGAGAGCGTTGTCGTGAACAAGAATTGGTCCTTTTCTGCTGACTATTGCGGGTCTTTGTTGTTGGGGTTTACGGTGCATATCGTCGATTTGTTAGCAACACTTTACTGCCGTAATCGTTTCGCTCGGATTCAAAAAGCTGTGATGAATCAACCAGGACGCAGGCCACCAAATACTCTCCATAAAGTTTTCTTGGTGCAATTTCGGCATTGGGAAGTAATGTTGAGCCTGATCGTAATCCAACCATTGAGCTGAACGTTGCTGGTTGTCGCACAGAGCCCACTTCTCGTCGCACATCACAATTCGATCATGAAGAGGGTCATTTTTGATGCGCAGAATAAGAGCAGACAACACTATAAAATGGCGATTTTTTTAGAATATCGATTAATTCGTGCAGCACCCACTTGTCGGGTTTTTTGTCTTTCATATGCCATTCAAGTGAATGGAAATTGTATCTGTGCTTGCTAATATGCAAGCTCTCGAACAGTTGTTTGCGTGTTTGCTTGCACTAGTGCTTTCTATTCATCGTCGTCAAGTTCATTGTAACGTACGCACCCTTCTCTATCTTCAAGGGAGAAATCACAAGATCAGAATTTCGGAAACAACCAACGTTCGCACTGTTGATTCACCAACACTAACTTCACCCCAAACTTCACTAATGTTTCGAGCCGTCTCTGCCGCACTAGAACCGATTTTGAACTCAGGAAAGAAATCTTGACGAAAACTCACTTTTGAAATCTAAAATTGAAAAACTCAAAATTGCTTGAAAAAAGAACTAATTTTTGACAAAATATAAAGATATGGTCAGAAAGAACATAAAGTCAGCTTTCTAATAATATATTATACTGCAAGGTAAACGGAATACATTAATGGTAAAAAATACATTGGAACAATAAATATTTTAAAATGCTCATTTATTTCCAAACAACCTGATAAAGATTTTGTTCTACATTCCTATCTCATTTTCATGTAAATTTTTCCCAGATTTAAATAAGTCAATTAAAATGGAAAAACGGACCCAAGCTAATTCTTTTCTATTTAGAGATTTAAATATGTGGAAACGTCGCAATACTCAGTTGCCGAATCACTAATGACAGCACTGTGTCACCAAAGAAATTTTCATATCCTTAGTGTATAAAGAGACCTGTTTATTAACCTCGACTTGGAATTTCTTAAGAAAATCAGTTATATTCTGGATAATGTTACTGAAACACGATGCATCGAAACAAATCGAGAAGCTAGACTTCAAATATTGAGACTTTTTTGTGGACAAGTGAACAATTTACAATCTCTGGAATCCTGTTGAAATCAAAACAACACCGAATTACTATAAGAAAGCCCAAAAAGTGCAGAAACATAACTACTTTTCCAAAATCTGAATACGTTTCTCGGAAAAACGTTCATAAAATGTAGTCAAGATGACCTTCGACGAGTTCAGAGATTCCCACTTTTATATAAAATCTCATCTGAGTCTGTCATACGTGAGTAGAACTGTATAGGCTAAAACTGTTATGAATTTGGTCAATAAGGATAAATTTAGGGAATCTGCAGCACTTTAAACTTCCTAAAAGCATCAGCTGTATGAAATTTTATACAAAGAGGAGCGTGTTGTCCATTGGTTAGAGGTCAAAGGTTGCAACTAAATGGCGCGCCTTGGAGCAACTAAACCTGTCATACCTCCGGGTCGAAAAATTGTCAGTAGCTTTTCTGGGAGGATGAAAACACCCACTCGATAGATAGCTAGACAACCACAAGTCACTCTAATGCAGTGCTGATTAAAACCCCACTCCATTACAACCAGATTTGGTCTATTGGAAAAACAAGTTAGATACTGAAGTACGCAAAAGTCTCCAGACAGACTTCACACATCATCTAACAATAGATTTCTTGTTAAGAAAAAAGGGTCGAAACATTAGAATCGGTAGAAAATTCATTTAATAAGCAATTCCGAAAACCATTTCACGGTGGTCCCATTTTTGCGTCTTAAAAAAATTTGAAAGCAAAAATGTCCAAGCACAGGTTCAACCGCTCTCATAACTCTAACCAGGAAATTTATTAAGACATCTTGTGACGAGACAACTAAGGAAACCCGAACTTCTTTCCCCTTAATAAGTGGGATGTATAAGTTCCGATCTACTGGAAGAAAGAGATCCGGCCGAAAGCATAGTACATAGCATCAATTCTAATGCTAAGTCGAATTTTTCAACAAAAACGACAAATGCTATACACCGACTAATTTTTCAAAAAACTTTCCAGCGCTACTATATATTGGGTGATGATGGACCTGTCTTTTGTTGGAGAGTATCTCGAGCGGTGTGTTGCGAGCGCGCCGTCTGCTTCGGTAGAGCATCTAGAATACGGCTTTATTTCAAGATCGCAATAATTTCGCATTTTATGTCTGTTATACACAAAAAAAGAACTCATACGTTAGAATATCGCTGAAACAAAACAAACACGCTTCATCAGCCTTTCAACGCTTCTCACTGTTTTCACAGAAAACTACAGACTTTTGTAACGAGAAACCAACCAGCTAAACCAAGTAATGCTATTAAACATTCGATTGGTAAAGAAGTCGCATTAAATTTAAGAAGAAGTTACAGATGGGACGGCTCTTAATCTATGACAGTTTCAACTTCGGCTTTAGCTATGTACGGACTCTTATGAAAAACTCCGGGTGGTCAAGAAATCCATCGCACGCGAAACAGTGCATATAGGCGTTGTGTGGTAAGCATAATTTCTTTATATATAAACTATCATTTAAGAAAGGTTAAAGGCCCTTCAACTTTCTACTATTATATATCAAAATACTGTGGAATTAAAAGCTGCGCAAATTTTGTTTTTTGAACACTAAAAAACCTGTTACTTTCTACAATGTAATGCTTCGTGGATACTGCGCTCTTCTGTGGTGCTTTTGGTGTCCCTGTTTTGTTGGTGAGAGAAAACTTCTTTCCATATTCCAATTGGAAAAATGGAAATGAGCGGTAGAATTACGCGTGAAAGTCTACAGATCTCATCACTACTTAAAGAAAGTGGAGAAGATATGTTAACTTAAAAACAATGTGTCCCCAAAACCTCATTGTGACTCTTACAAGAGCTGAGAAAAAAAATAGCAAAACTCTTACAAATAAAATAAACGACGTTGAATAAACTTGCCGAGAAATATGCAATCACTGCTAGTTGGTTATAGCAGTGCCCAGATGAGGGCCACAGTTGAGCAGACCGTAAATACATGCTGAAAATCCTGGAATATCAAGTCGCACAACATATTTTTAACACTTACGGTTGGAAGCCCATTCTATACTAGGATTTAATGCATACCTCAGTTCATGTAATAAATCTGGTTGTAAAGACGTCTAACAAGAAAGAAAAGAAAAACAACCCCACTCACGCTCTGGCATCGCTGTAATCTTCACTACCTTCTATTAACGTTTTATAACGTTTCAAATCTCCCAATGCAATCAAATGACGAGAATAAGATTTGGTAGCAATCTAAAAGACGAACTGCATAATAACCGCATGAATGCAAGTAAAACATACATTTTCCTTCTTTTTAAACTGATGTCCAAACACACCTTACGTCCCGAATCGTGGTTTGGCCGATGACAAACGTCCCAAAACGCTTCGTTTTGATCAAAAGAGAAAAGAATGAGCTTCTGCAAATCCACGTGCAATTCCTTTTCATAGAGATCAATAACACGCATGTAGAAAGAAATACCCTGAAGAAGAAAGCAAACCAGCAGTCTACTAGGTTTTAGGTGACAAAAGGGTGTATAAAATCCACAAAACATATATGACATATCTACAGCATCAATCACTTTCACACAATGACAAAGACGAGATCTTAACAAATTTTACACCTTTCAATATTTCACTTTGGCGTCGTAAGCAGCATATAAAACCCACATTGCTTCAAATATTATACGCATCCCTTGCACGGTGATTCCACATTCTTCTGTGCTTTTCACCCAAGCTCTAATAAGATTTCGCGGCAATTCTTACTTATTAAAACTGTGCAAGAAAACGAGGAATTGAATGTTATCTTTAACACAACCCCTATCTAGAATGAAAAGCAAAAAGCTAAGAAAGAGGGAAACAGCAGTAAAGGACCTATTGTGACCCTTGTCGCCATCTACTATAAAGAATGTGACGATTGCTGTAACTATCGTAATGCCGAAGATGAAACAAGCGCTCATTGTAGCGCGTCGCGACTATATAACATCAGAGACGTTAAATACTAAATGTTAACTGACAGCTCTAACGTAGTTGTACGTATCACTCAAACATATAACCAGAACCATTGTAATTAAAAAATCATGGAAGTTTACCAGGTTAGATCTCAAAGCAGAGAATGACGGATCGTTCAAATGTCTACTGCACCTTCTTACAATCAGATGCGAAACACTAGTCATGAGTCAAAAATTAAATAATTAATAAATTCAAAGATTATTAGACCATCGGTTAGTGATGAAGAGAGAGAGTTTGTAGTTATTCCTCAGCAGTTAGATATTAAGATAACTTAGGAACATCTTAGTGATGTTACACTTTATCGCCTATCATCTGAAAAGGAATACAAAAGACAATACCGAATACTTAACCATGAAATGGTCACAGTGGCAAAGGCGGTAGACATAAAACCATCCGTTATTTCGCATTATAAAATAGATCGACCAACATGTCTCGTTTTGTGCTTACTTATTAAAACACATAAGTTAGTATCAGCTGATAACCTCGCTTCTACCAATCCACTCTCCTACAAGGTTATGCCCATTATCAGCTGTGTAGACGGACCAACGGATAGAACAACGATTTCTTGGCCGAATACTTACCCAACTGCTTAGCCATATTCCAGCTCACCTCACGAACACCCAAATGTTCCTAGAACGTCTACGTAACGCATCTCCTAACAACGCGTACGTGATGCAGTCATTCGACGTTACCGCGTTTTACACCAACGTATCGAATGACTGCAATGCAAGCCATCCACGAACTTCATGTTAAACAAGAAGGAGGAATACATACTTGTCTATTCAGCAGCTTATAGTTCTCCTAAAAAGTGCCCAAACTGCTCGACTTTCGGATGGTCTGGGAATTATTCCGCACGGAGGTCTAGCAATTTGACAGCGGTTGGCACCAACTCTGACCACTGCGTTCATGTCTAAAATAGAAGCCCCGGTTTTCGACCTCCGGCGGCTACTCTAATGCAGATATGTAGATGACTGTCCCCAGGATTGACTTTCTATTAACTTCGGTATTGGAATATGAATGCGTCGTTTTCTTGTTCAGCAATTGCGAGGTTTTTAAACAGCATACATTTACTTCCATAGAAAAACAATACGATACAACACTAGCTGACGTTTCGGCAGTATCGCCTTCTTCAGAGCCTGGAAGGGTATGGTGATATACAATCTACTAGGCCAAACGCTTCAATAACACTTACAAAAAGACGAAAAATTCTATGGTAATTACATGATCAACAGCTTCTCGAAAAACTCACCGATTTTTACGTGACTTCCAGCGAGGAGGATTAGAACAGCTGATTATAGTCGAATATGTTAGATGACTGCACCATCCCACATCAGAAATTGATGCGAACATACGGGTTCAGGTGGGGTATGACCTCCGGGCAATCGTCCCTGCTATTCATAGTAAGGTTTTTGGCATTTATCCAAAAAGCCTCAAGAAGTTTTCGAGCTGGTGTTTTGGACTGCTGTGCAAGGATATTGACTTTTACTTCAAAATCGTCTCCGCTATACTTTTATATCCTATGCGTGCCTAGTGGGGTGCTTCGTCCTAGTTTTCGTTTGCCATCTAGGTGTTCTTTTATATGGATACACAAAGGTCTGCCCATTTCGCCAATATATTCATCTTCGCAGTTATTACAAGAGATCAGGTATATCGTACCTGAACTCATGCAATTACCGTCCCTGCCGTAAGGGCAAATTACGCAGTTTAGATTATTGTTGATCGATTGTTTTGTCATCTTCTCTACTCAGGAAAAGATGGACAAATGCTTTGAATTATTGAATGAGCAGTCTGAGTGCATTAAATTCACCCGGGAGGAACCGAAAGAGACCTGCCTCCCATTTCTTAACGTTCAAATCAACCTACCAAGTAGCGGCTACATGACAAAGTGGTATCGAAAGCCAAGTAACAAGAACATCCTCGTTCACTTACTTTCTTCCCACCCTTCACACACAAAAAGGGCGCTTGTAAGAAAAGTGTTTCCAATAACCACCTCTGTGCGCACAACCATGGAACTGAAGGAATAATCGCGTGATTTGGCTCGGCAAATAGCCATCTCCAACGGCTACGAAATACCGCACAAGATAAGTTTAGGAGAGCGACGCCCCAAAACAAAACATTCGGTCAAAAGAGAGTCACTTTTATGTTGCCCTTTATTAGTGATGAAGTAAACGTAGCTATAAAACGATGTAAACAGGACAGGCCTAGAGAAATCGGTAGCAATGGTTGAAATGCCACCGGATACTCTATGTCGTCAGTTAGTTCGCAACCGCTTGTATGACCGTCTATGTAAAACAACAAATTGTGTAATTTGCCCTTAGAGCAAAGATGGTGATTGCATGAGTTCAAGTACGATATACCTGACCTCCTATGATTGCGGAAATGAATATATTGGCGAGGCGGGCAGACCCTTGTGTATCCGTATAAAAGAACACCTAGATGGTGAACGAAAAGCAAAACAAAGTACCCAACTTGGCAAGCATAGGATACAAAAGCATGACAGAGACGATTTTGAAGTAAAAGTCAATATCCTTGCACAGGAGACTAAAACACCAGCGCGAAAACGTCTTGAGGTTTTTTGGATAAATGCCGAATACCCTACAACGAATAGCAGGGATGAGTGCCCAGAGGTCATACGCGACCTGACCCCGTATGTTCGCATCAATTTCTGATGTGGGATGGTGCAGTTATCAACCATATGCGACTATAATCGGCTGTTCTAATCTTCCTCAGTGAAAGTCACGTAAAAGGCAGTGATTTTTTCGATAAACTGTTGATCATGTAATTACCATTGAGTTTTTCGTCTCTTTGTATCATTGAAGCTTTTTGCTTAGTAGGCTGTACATCAGTATATCCTTCCAGACTCTGAAGAAGACGATACTGCCGAAATGGCAGCTACTGTTGTATTGCATTGTGTGTCTTTTTGTTGAATGAAATATATGCTGTATAACAACGTCGCGATTGCTGAACAAGAAAACGACGCATTAATATTCCTATGCCAAGGTTAACAGAATGTCGATCCTGGGAATTAGTGACTGAATGCATATCTGGCCTTTACAATTACTCGCAGTGGTCTACCGATGTATCGAGCCTGTGCTCCTATCCTCCCAGATAAGTCTGATACCAATTTGCCGACCGCCGAAGGATGGAAGGCTTGGTGGCCCATGGGCGTTGGGACCGATTCCACGTGTGTCGCAGTGTCGCAGTGGCGCTTCCGACCACTGCGCCACACGTACCGCATAATGCACTATACCGTTCCATTATTCACTGCTAACTGCAACCCTTAAAAGTCCATTGGGATATCTAGATTCTTCGTCATTAAGAAATAGCCAATAGAAGATACATTTATGTCTATATTTTCCTAGTAAAAAACGCAATGCAAATTTTCAAAGCTATGGGATGACGTTTTGTCCAATGTATTTGAAACTGTGGAAGACAATCATTAAAATAGTGCGAGGAAGACTACAAAGCAATGACATAGCACAAAAAAACCATTAGTGTCAGTTTTAGTATCAGTATAATTGTCCTACATGTGTCATCAGGTTCAACTAGATATCTCTAATATTGTCGTTCATGTGCTAAACAGTCTGCGCCTTTTTTAAGTGTCATTTTCTCTTCTTCAAATCTAACAGCAAACCATCATAACAGATATTACCAAAATAAGTAAATCCAACTTTTCTACTACAACATTTTGCCACCTGCAAGCAGAAATATGACAAAACACCACTTGTTTTAAACAAAAAACCGATTTTTCGTTTCGTGAAAACTTTGTCGTCAAACTACGCTCTCGAACACTACAAAATTTCATTCACCGCTTATAAAAGTGATAAATCAATATGAATAAAATACTAACGTTGTTGAGCAATGAAAGCAGGGCAGCACGGAACGCTCGCGTGCAATCTTTCGAGGAATTAACAACCGATTTGAACACCTCAATAGGTTTGTAGAAGGCTTGTTTCCACAAATGCTGCTCAAGATTCATCGTGAACGTAAAAGAGATGTCCCGTGGCAGCAATTTGTAGTACATTTCACATAATTCACCGCTGAAATAATAATGCATAGTGAGAAATGAGGAAAATTAGAGGCATAATCAGACCGTAATAAAAAATTGATCTACTGGTAAAAAAAAAAGACAGAAGGAGATGAACCCTTCACAACAAAGTGAAAAATTATCGTTTACTAAACTTCAGAAGAAGAGGAGAAAATCGAAAAAACTGCTACTGGACAGTGAATAATATGAACCGACCTCAACTCTACAACTTTCTCTGCAGCCTTGATATCCCTCTTTTGCACACGAAGAAGCAGAGATGTTATTGAATCGTTGATCTAGAACTATAAACATCAGATACAACAGATATCTAAGCATTTGAAACAAAATGTTCAACTATTTCGAAAACATAGAAATGATAATTAGATACATTAGAGCTAACATCAACGAACTGTTTACTTGGATAAGCCACTCACCTTCTGCATTATTGGGCCTTGATTGTTTGAGATCTCACGATATACTGGAAAATCTGTCACTTTTTGTGGTTCTGATGATAAGGTTGTCGTTTTCTTGCTGCAATACAAAAGTACACCAAATTAAGTCTGCTACCTCTCAGTTGTCATTTTTATCTGCTTCAGAGGTGTTGCCCAACTTTATACACTTCTTATAACTAAGATTAACCTTAAATGTGCAAATTGAAGAAGCAAATTCATTACAATACGAAAACCAAGTGTGAAAACCTCAACAAAGAGTGAGAGTTGTTTCACGAAAATGTGGTTAAGCACACAAAAAAAACAACTGAAAACACGAAGGAAAACTTGCTAAAGATAATCGATATAATGAAAGATGGCAACATAGTATTCCTCAACCCAATCACTTTGTCCCGTGGCATTACGGAGAACCCAAAAACTCGATGAAGTGAGCTAAACTACCTCGTCCTTGGCTGACCATTCAGTTCCAGCAAAATTAAGGATAGTAAAAAAGCAATAAAGTTATAGGACATTTCAAAAGCATAAGGAAAACTGCGAAAACTCAAGCATGACCCAATACCAAACGTAAGTGAATCACAAGTGCTTTTCAATCTGTTGTTAAACTGGTGGCTAAACACAAATGCCAAGTCGTACGCTCCGCTCTTTAAACATGGAAAACTTTATGTTTATTGGACCGGAGTGATTGGGTTACTAACAACGACAATAATGTCGAAATAAAACTTGATATCGATTATATTCGGAGTTAAAATAGTACGAGACACTACATACGGATATGTTTGAAGTTCTGCTGTTTATTTTGTCCGCTGCGGTGTCACAAATAATACAAATAATATGTTTACAGTAAAAAAAAGATACATCTCTGGCGTTGACAAGTTCCTGAAGAATGCGTTATGCATTCGACTTCACTAAGCATCGTTGCACGTAATTGAATGCATATCTCGCCTTTATAATAACTCGCGGTAACCGACCAATGTATCGAGCCAGTGCAGCTGTGCTCCCAGACATGTCTGCTGCCAATTTACCGAACCCTTAGCAATGAAAGGCTTCGTGGGCCTGGGGTGGGATCGATCTCCCGAGTATTGCAGCGCGCCTCCGAGCACTACGCTACAGGCGCATCTAATATTTACAGTAAACAACAAAAAACCCAGTGCTTCGAAAAAGCATCAATGCTGAGAATGTACATCAAAATAATCCACTTTTTATTTTATCATATACGTCCCACCTTCACATCTTCTTAACGGATACCAGCATTTCTCAAATTCGATTCGTTTCCTCGCAACCATTATTCGCGAAGGACTTAAAACTTTTACGTGTGGCTTCGGCTGCTGCTTGAGTATTTCCAATCATCTTGAATATCGTAGAATGCTGGTCGAGTCGATTCTCACTGGAGTTCTGAGATACCCGGCCTAGAGCGTTCCCAATTGGATTGCAAAGAGCGATTTTTTCCCGAAAAAATCCGATACCAATTTCCCGACCGCGAACGGATAACAGGCTTAGTGAGCCCGAAGCGGGACCAAACCAGCACTGCGGCCGTGATGACCGGCACCACTACCACCATGCAATCCGACCTTTAGAATAATCACTACTTAATTGTACCAGACTATGGCGATAATAAGTACGACGTTCTGCAGAAAACCCCTATTGCGAACACAAAACACGAATTTAAAAGTTAGATTCGTTGGTGAAATAAGAGAATTTATTCAAAGATTATTGCTCAGAACTCTAAAACCTTGAAATTGGTACAAAAGTGGTATGGGAAGCAAAATGTTAGAGCAGAACAAATAAATCAGAAAACGATCAATGCACGATAAAGCGTGAGGTTTCAGAAACTGGGTCAAGATTGACAATAAGCAGTCAGAGAATGAACGCCACAATGGAATAAATAGTACTTATTAGGAACCAAGAGTAAAAAAAATGACGGTTAAAGTAGGTTAAATCAAAAATACACAGATCACCTGTGTCGAACGTCACCGCCTGCACCGTCACTCTTCCCAGACACTGCAAACATGAGTAACATTAAAAACAGATTGAAACGAAAAACAAAAGTAATAACAGAAACATAAGAAAAGATAAACAGTGCAGATTAGCACTAATCAGTCGTGTAAGTATAGGCTCTCTGAGAGAGCCCAAATCTTTTCAAACACTACCATTATTTCAATGTTCAACCTCATAATGGAACGAGTACTTGCGGAGAAAAGTAATCTTCACTTGAACTTTCTACATTCCTTTAGCAGTAAAAGCTAGTAGTCACCACAGAGACGTTTTTAAAACACATTTAGAGTTGACCTTTGATGAGTGTAACACCATAAAGAAAAGATTACATAAAATTGCTTCCAGGTTACTCATTTAAACCTAAGTTGCAAAATCCTACCATGGTTCGTTAGGACAACAGAGTCAGTGAACAAAAAAAATAACAATGAACCTCGCATTGCTGGTGGCCTGTATGGTCTTTGAGGCTCATTCCGTAAAGAGACACCAGATACTCGGGAAGCCAATGGCGATGCGTTTCCAGCCAAGTTACATTCCGTGTTCGAACGATCAATGGTAATACGACCAATTAAACGACTTGTTTTGTTGCTAATCTGCGCAAATTTTTTACTACTATAGCCTGAGCTTTGTATATCATCACGAGCCGGCCTTGACAAACGTTTCTCTCCTGCAACAGGCACAATGTTAACGTATTTTATTAACGTAATTTATGTAACCAAAGTAAGAAGAAAATTACTTCGATTGTTCCAATGTTTTTCATCTCCGCTTTCCTCAGTGGGCGTTCGTTCACCACTTGATAAATCAGAACAACCATACTCCTCCTCTACTATACTACCACGTATTGAAGACCGATCGCTATCTTTAAATCGAAAAGACCTATGCGTGTTTATGGTTGATAGGATAGTTGTGACTCGCATCCACAACAACCATAACCCACAAATTCTTGCAGCGTTAATGTGATAAAACACAGGTAATATAATAGATAGAGGTAACAAGACAAGACGAAAACTACGTTCGAACTTAAGGAACAAACATAGGAAAGAATAATAAAAGCACAAACCACTCCGAATCCTTTCTTTACCACGCCTCAATCCGGGCGGAACCCTCAGTATACCTCGCGACAACAAATTCGAATGTGGCACATCTTCTTTTTGCGATAAATCATGGTGAGGACTTTCTACTCTAAATAGATTTACTGAAGCATCAGGATGTATCTATACATGTAAACATGTATATATAAACAAATGCATATATACATTTCGTATATATGTATACATATATATGCATATGTGTGTACATCCTATCCCTACTAATGATAAAACAGTTTTATCATCTTTCCATATCCACTAGGAAGTCCACTTTGACGTTTTTGTTAAATATAGTGCAATATCCATACATTTTTTTTCCTAACCAGAATATTATATTTCATGAAATACTGAGGAAATTCGAGCACCTACGTCACTTGGCAGAAGTACACTAATTTAGTATAACCATCTACTTAAAGGATTCTCGCAAATAGCACTCTAGCACTAGGATTCGCTAATATTAGCACTCTTTACAAACAATAAATACCTTTCGGTGGGTTGTTTTTTTCCTGCTTCTTCACTGTGTTTTGCATTGTACTCAGATTCCACTTCTTTGCTCCAGTCGAATGAGCCAAGAGACTCAAAAGATTGGCATAATTGCATATAAGATAAAGATGATGATATTGCATCATCTGCGACACTTTGCGTCTCACTAGTTGCATCGACCGCCGACCGATCCTACACAAACAAATAAGCAAGTAAACTGACAACAAAAGCAGCGCTAATTATTGGATTTAGAAGAAAACTACTGCATTTGAAACAGTATTTCGTCTTCAAATAATTTTGCAAGGAGGTGAGAACATTATATAACGAACTGGTAACTGTGCCAGGCATTCACTCTGAGTACTGTTAAGTGAGTCGTTACGCTTCCGATGAGCTACATTTCGTCGTCCACCTTCAGCTCGCATTGATGAACGCTCCGTATGTTGTTGGGACTAAAATAATTCATGACAACTTTAGCAAAATTAGAAAAATAAGGAAAGTAAATAAAGATTCGGATTACTTAAAACCTTCCAGAAATAGCACAAACGATTTCAACATTTAGTAACCAGTGTAAGCAAAAGCAAATTTGTAACAACGATGCAGTGTGCTTAACGTGATATTAACAGTAAAAAAGATCCTTCTAAACTCAAACGATTGTACAAAACTTTAGTAACAACTAAGTTATAGGATATGGAAATATGGATGCTCTAATGGTACTGCATATAGTTCCCAGGATCGACTTTCTATTAACCTCGGCATTGGAATATAAATGCGTCGTTCTCTTGTTCAGCAATCACGAGGTTTTCAAACAGCATGCATTTACTACCATAGAAAAACAATACAATACAACACTAACTGACGTTTCGGCAGTATCGCCTTCTTCAGAGCCTGGAAGGGTATACTGATATACAATCTACTAGGCCAAACGCTTCAATAACACTTACAAAGATGAAAAACTCCATGGTAACTACGCGATCAACAACTCGAAAACCCACTGCTTTTTTCATGACTTCCAATGAGGAAGTTTAGAACAGCTTATTATAGTCACATACGATTGACGACTGCACCATCCCACATCAAAAATCGATGCGAACATACGGGATCAGGTCGCGTATGACCTCCGGGCATTCGTTCCTGTTATTCATTGTGGGGTTTTTGGCATTTATCCAAGGGATGGATGCCCGGAGTTCATACGCCATCCGATCCCGTATGTTCGAATCGATTTCTGATGTGGGATGGTGCAGTCATCTAACATATTCGACTATAATCAGCTGTTCTAAACTTCCCCATTTGAAAGTCACGAAAAAAGCGGTGAGTTTTTAGAGAAGCTATTGATCACGTAATTACCATGGAGTTTTTCATTTTTGTAAGTGTTATTGAAGCGTTTGGCCTAGTAGATTGCATATCAGTATACCCTTCCAGGCTTTGAAGAAGGCGATCCTGCTGAAACGTCAGCTAGTGTTGTACTGTATTGCTTTTCTATAGAAGTAAATGTATGCTGTTTAAAAACCTCGCGATTGCTGAACAAGAAAACGACGTACTCCATATAATTAAAATATCTGTACCATCTGCATCACCCAAAGTGATACATTTAAACTACTCTAAATACTAAACCTCCCAACGGTTTACCGCCTCATCGTCGCTGGGAGGTGTTCCTGGTTGTCGGACTGCGATGTACAGCGAGAAAATTCATCCCCCCAGTAGGTCCTACCAAGCTGAGAAAGAGTTCAGCGTTTCTATCAGGAAACCCAGCTAAGAGTAAACCAATACCAGGATCCACCACCGTCTTGGCACCAAACTACTCCTATTGTGGCAAACCCCTTCTGGTCCACATGAGCGACGACTGCCTGTGCTAGGAACGATCTAGGACAGACTTTGGTCTCGCTGACCCAACAAAACTCCGAAACGATGGAAATTGGAGTATTGGATATTGGAGTCAGCACAACTAGTGAAGACGGGGCGTCGAAGTACCCAATAAGTATCTAGTTGAAATACGGAGGAATTTCTTACCTGACCGCTAGTAGATTGTAATGCTACGAAAAAGTTTATAACGCGATGCATGTAGTTGAAAAAAGTGAAGCGCCCTACTTTTCGACGGAACCGTACGGGTGATGGAGCCTTGCCAATGTTCAAAGTTCCTTGACGTCGTCTAAAGCTCGACCGAAAATCCAAGTAGCCCTCCGATTGCTGTGGATCGTATAACGATTGTGTGGAATTCTAAATAACAGGAATTACAATTCCGCCTCATAAAAAGCCTAATTTTACGATACGCACATAGGAATGGTTTGGGCTCGAAATGCCACAGCCGGTGACCTGACGATTCTTCTAAAAACATGTTTAAATAGGGTTTATCGAGGAAAAAACAGTGGATTTATAAAGCAGAATCTTGACGATACCGTCCTAGACTGCACAATTTCGAACCTGTGCTGATGAAATTCGAGAATCCTGTCTATCACTATAGTCTCCAGTATTTCTCTTCCGGACAGAGGCCGTCATATTGAAGTCGTTCAAATTGCAAACCTTTCTGAAACAGTATGGTCTACGAAATAAGACGAAACTTTAGGAAAGGAATTGAATCAGCTTTGTAGAATTTTCAATATATTCAATATGACAACAGAGTCAAACATATTAGATCTAGTACTGTAACAGTAACACCGTAAACACATAACTAAACAGGAAAGAACGCAATTCAAAACTGGAATCTTACTTATCGGCAGAGAATCGTCCACTACGAAAAAAACCTCGTGAATTGACCAGTTTCTTGGGACTATCGTGCTGCTCATTAGATATTGACGCATCAGGTGTCGTGCTTCCAGAATCACCACAGTCTTCAAAAGGTCCAGGTGAAGCTCAATTTAAATATGAGATATTGGTAAAAAATCTGGTCATATTATTTGAGACGCAGAAGGAGAGTCACCAGTCGTCTTTTTTTCTTGGCCTTATTAGTATTGAAATGTAAACTAGGAGATAGCCATGAAGTTTCATTCGCTACCTACATTCTTTGTCCTAATTTTGCCGTAATTTAATCGCACTTTTAACAAACAAAAAACTATGTTTGTTATTTAGTAACGTAACAGCTGGTAACTGAAGCGCAGTGGTCGGAGGCGCCTTGCAATACACCTGAGATCGATCTCTAAGCCCAATGCTACTAAGCACCCCATACCAATAGGGTTGGCAAATTGGTACCAGACTTGTCTGGAAGGATAGCGGCACTGACTCGATAGACCGGCATTGCATAGGCCAGATGTGCATTCAGTCACCTCCAACGGTCCATAATGAAGCCGAATGCAAGGCGCATCCCTCGGCGGTAGATCAACGCGAAGAGTTTTATCCTTTATCCTTTAACACTGCCAACTAATTTTCGATTTCTCAAATAACAACCGTATATAGGAAAGTAATCTACTACTGCAGCAATTTCTGGTCGAAGATGTAAAAAGCAAAATAACAATATATGAACTTACAAGAATGAACAGACTCTGTGTCATTACTACGTCTTCTGCTAGTACTTTCGCTAACCTTTTCTAAAAAGAAAATACTGGCTACAATAACTGCATGTCAAATTATGCGAATAAAAAATCAGTAGGCAAATTTCTAAATTAAAAGTGTAGGTATACCACGATAGCTGTCGCGGGTAAGTTGGGATTGATGTATGTGTTCTATTGAGGCTTCGCGCGGTGGATTGCAATCGGCTTGAGTAGACCCTCTTGCAATAACCTCTGCTCCCTTTCGCATCATACCTATATTGCAGTAGTTAATATATATTATATATGTATTTCTATATACATGTACATATACGTGTACGTGTATATCATTTTTGTATGACCGTATAACCAAAGTACGAGTCGAACAACCTCGTTTCAGCTCATTAAAGACGGTTAGTGAAAATAAGTTCTTAACTTAACTTTTATTTTCACTATTCGCTGCTACCATGTACACGAATATTTACTTTCCTATTTCTAGTTTGTTTGACCCATCTTCACGTCTACTGTGTGATCTCAGCACTTCTTACATTCGACTCACGTCCTCGCACCCATTGTTCACGCCTAACGATTTTCATTTCATATTGAATGTCATAGAAAGATGGCCGAGTCGATTTCCCGACCCCGGAGAGATGAGACTTGGTTGGCCCAGAGCGGAATCGAACTAGCACCATGCTCGTGATGAAGCACATAATCACCACTGTGCTATCCGTTTCTGTATATGGATGTGTGTGTATATATATATACGTATATATATATATATACACATGTATATATACCTCTCAACGGTTTACCGCCCCATCGTGGCTGGGAGGTGTTCCTGGATGTCAGCCTGCGATGTACAGCGGGGAGATTCGACCTTTCGGCAGGATCTTCTTAACCGAGAAAGAGTCCGGAGTTACCATCAGGAAGCCCAGCTCAGAGTAAACGATACAAGGATCTACCACCTATCAAACTAATCGCATGTTGTCAAATCTCCCTCTGATCCACAAGGGCTGCGACTGCCTGTCGTGGTGACGACCTGGGACAGACTTTGGCCAGGTTGACCTCGGGATTCCAGAGAACCGCAATGGCTTAATCAGCAAATCTCCGAAAAATTGTGATTATGCTGGGGCTCGCACAACTAGTGAGGACGGCCCGTTCAAGCAACAAGTAAGTACGTATGCTGGAGGCCCGCAGAACCAGTGAGGACGGACAGTTCAAGTGTCAAGTGTATATATGGGCGCGTGTGCACAATGGTCGTAATTCCGGTCATCACGAGCAAGGTAGTGGTTTGACCTCGCGGTGGGCTTAGTAAGCCTCTCATCCCATGGGGTCAGGAGATTGGTAACGGGCTTGTCCGGAACAAGTCGATTCCCCCAATCCACGAGGCAACCCACTAACATGACTTAGCTTTAACACCAGAAAGAACTTACCCCATCAGCCCACAACGATGTTCCTTACGGAAACGAAAAAAATTTCAAAAACAGTCAAATCCGCATACTAATGCTCGATCACCTTGTTGCGTTGTGGATGCTAGGAAATGAATAGACTCCAAAAAGTGCTGAGGTCATCACAATGTGACAAATGCGATGTCGGGTTGGATAACGTAAAAGAAATGTATACTTTACATATACATGTTCATCAAGCTTCTACTACCCAAGAAAGTCCCCAAGACATTAAAAAGTTATACCTGGGCGATAAATTTGAATATCGGGCCGAGCCTTTCGAGTTCGTGTTGTACTGGTAGCCGATGAGGAACAGCCTTGCCCATCTCCATCTGCCATTCCGGATAGACGTACTTAACAGAGACAACCGTAGTATATCTCAAAATATTGAAGATACGATAGAAAAAATAACAAGAAATTTTGTAGAAGCCTAAGGAAAAAACGCAACGAAAAAAAAAGTTAGACTGCAAACATCCTACGAATAAACTGTTTGGAAGCGGAAGAATGTACATATTCATTGAAATTATCGAATCATTCCTTTCCAGTTCTCATAGCTCCCTTTCAATAAAAAAAAGAATGTAGTCCAAGTTCCGTAACCCTCCTGGGAATATTTCTGAACAGTTTTCATTCAAGACAAGTATTTCAAATGCAAAACGACCTTCAGAAAACTCTGGAATAAACTAATTCCGGGATAATTACTTAGTATGTTCCGCTGACTAAATCTAAGTGATTGTGTAACGAAAATATTCAGATTCCACAAGATTATGGAGGGATCGGATTAGTTCAAAAAAAAGAAATGAAAGGTTAGAACTAAATATTTTTCGAAATTTTAAGAGGCGAGTTGAACATTAAACCAAAAAAAGGCACAAATAAACTACTAAAAAGGTTTCCGATAGATTAAAAATGAGTTCATAAGCAGTACTAATAGAACAATTTTAGTATATGTTCAGGAATGAACCTGTGCAGCAAGAAAAATCTTTTTTCATTCCTGAAAATATACTAAAATTGGAACAATACAGAGAAGATTAGCATGGCCCCTACGCAAGGATGACACACTAATATAACATATACGTAGGTGGCAGATAGCATAATAGTAGTGATGTCGGTTATCACGCCTATGATGTTAGTTCGACTCCGCTCCGAGCCAACTGAGCCTCTGACCTCTCCGGGGTCCGGGAATTGGTACCGGACTTGTCCGGGAAAAATCGCTCTCTGCAATCCAATTGGGAACGCTCTAGCCCTGGTAACTCAGGACTTCAAGGAGAATCGACTCGACCAGCATTCTACGACATTCACGATGAAAGGAAAATCCTCAAGTAGCAGTCGAAGCCACGCGTAAAAGTTGGAAGACCTCCGTGAATGATGGATGCGAGGAAACAAATGGAATGTGAGAAGTGCTGGGGTCCGCACACTAGACGTGAAGACGGCTCATAAAATAAAAAAAATAAATATATATGCACCTCCTAATAACACCAACAATACAAACATGTACATATGTATATACATATATATTGTACACATATGTAATAATGTAGTGTGACAACCTCTCAACGGTTTACCGCCTTATCGCGGCTGGGAAGTGTTCCTGGGTGTCGGGCTGCGATGTACAGCGGGTGATCCATGCCCTGGCAGGCTCTCCCAAGCTGAGGAGTCCGGCGTTTCCATCAAGAAGCTTAGCTAAGAGCAAACCAATACCAGGATCCACCACCGTCCTGGTATCAAAGTCGCATGGTGGCCAATCTCGCTCTAATCCACAAGGGCTGCGACTGCCTGTAGTAGTGAAGACGTGAGCCAGACTTTGGCCAGACCGACTTCAAGATTCCAGGGAACCACAATGGCTTAACCAGCAAATCTTCGAAAAATGGAGACTTTGCTGGGGCCCGCACTACCAGTAAGGACGTGCCACTCAAGCATCAAGTAAGTGTGACAACACCTGCAGCAGAACACTAATGGCATGAATTAAAATTAGTGTAGCAGAAATACCAATTTAAGATAGTTCATAAACCCTCGAGAAGCCTAGGAGAGAATTTTTTGGATGTATGACCCACAAGAAGTAGTTATGCAACAAACAGTAAATGGATACACTGGATTCATTGGATGAGGAGACATCCTCGCGAAATAAAAACCTGACTACCTTATTAGAAAGACGAAGATTTCATTTCGCACACATGGGAATAAAAGAGTAAAATAGCCACTATAAGGTCAATCAAAACAGAAAAAAAGCAAGGCTGATTCGAACTCATGACATTCAAAAATATAATTCGAACAGATTAAATCCGTAGACTGGAAATATTGCTCTTCCTAAGACAAACATGAGAGAAAAGTACAAAATCTGGAACAAAACTCATAAGAGCTGAATCACCTGGGAAACTAAGAGGAGGAAAATAGGCAAAATGCAACGGATCACAGTTTCGAAAGGACGAGAAATGAAAATTAGACCGATACCTTCACCCAAAACGGATCGAAAACGGAAACAAAATACAAATATTCACTCCAAAATGTGAAAATGTTACGCAAAGATCAAAGATATTACAAAATACAACCATTCAAAATAATGAAAATCAGAAAATCTAGCGCTAAAAGTAGTAATGATTTACACTCGTCAATTTGGATGAAGGTGGTGCATTTACGCTACCTACACATTTTGTCCGTTCTGAGCCTTTTCATTATGGTGTTCAGCTCCACATTTTCGTTAATAAGAGTAGGTGTTCGATTTCCTGTATGCTGGACTTTTTCTGGATACTTTGGTTTAGAATGCATCCATGACAACCTCTTATTTCCAATGTCAGCCGGGATTATACGAGTAGCGTCATCAGCTCTTAACTCAGTTGATGACGATCACGTTACGTCGTTGGCAAACATTAAGTAACAAAGTCACCATTCAAATTCGAAGTAAACACGTTAAGCTCTGCATATACTCATCGACACAGATTCGTCAGTACTTTAACGGTCTTCGACCGCTTGGTTCTTCTTATCGTCAACAGAGAGGCGCTAGCATTGTACGACTGCCATTCAGAAAACCATGATTTTTTTCTGTACGGCTTGCTTCTTTCTATTAATGATATGAATATTCTAAGTGGCCGATGACTTCATCAGTGGCGGGGTTCATCATCAACGGCAATGGACAAGGTCAGCAGTGCGACATGTCTCCGTTTTAGTGAAATCGACATCATTAATGATACGAGGACAATTTATGACTATCGTTAAATGGTTCCAGTCTCCCTAACGATGAGAAATGAACTTTAATGTGAACTGCTTCCCAGCAGTTTACCGCCTGATAGTGGCTGGGAGATGTACTTGGTTGTGATGTACAGTGAGTTCATTCACCAGCAGGACCTTCCAATCTGAGAAAGAGTCCAACGTTCCCAACCGGAAACCCAGCTAAAAGCAAATCAATACTAGGATCCACCACCGTCCCGGTATCAAATTAGTCGCATGGTGGCAAATCTCTCTCTGTGCCACAAGAACGGCGACTGCCTGTGTGGTGATGAGCTGAGGCAGACGTTGACCAGGCTGACCTCAGGACTCCAGGGAAACACCATGGCTAAACCAGCAAATGTAAATTGTGCTGGAGCAGGCACAACCAGTGAGAACTGGCCGCCCAAGTATTTAAGTATCCAAGTACCAAGTAATGTGAAATGAGATCGCTGACGGCGACAACTTGTGCTGGAAGCCCTAGTGTCTCGTGTCTGCCCTTTCGCCAACAGTATACAACGATAAAAAGGTGACGTCGTGACGTTTTTACCCAGAACTACCCAAGTGAAAACAACTTCTTCAAACTGTTCCGCAGATGATATACATGCAAATTTCAATCATTATGACTTTCGCCAATTTTTACAGTTTTTTTGTTCCTATTTACTACTATTATATAAACGTTTCCAAATTGTTTGCCGCTTCATTTTGGCTGGAGTGTATTCCTGAGAGTCCACTCCTATGTATGAATGGTATCATCCCCAGCAAGGCCATCCAATCCGAAAATGAGAACATTTCTTTGAAGAAACCCAACTAATGCAGTTNCAATACCTCAAACTTGGACGGAGAACTACTGGTACACAAATAAGGCAAGTTCGAGGCTATGAGGTGTTGTACCTACTATTAAAGTGAGGCTTACAAAGGCATAACAGTATGGTAAATAATACTATTACAGCATTAGTACTATGATAACAGCAACTTGATAACAATGACAAGTAAGGGATACGAACTATGGCGCCCGCACTGGCACGTACAGTGGCCCAGATGCCGAGGGCTAGAACAACAGAAGAGTGAGATGCAGACGAGCCCTGCATTAAGCTAAGCTAGAGATCATATGTACAGCGGCTAGGTGCACTTGCATATTAATCGATGAGGATAGCAAGTTACCTAAGCATCGATGGTGGAAGTGACTACGAACGGGATGAGACACCTGCGGAACACGGTCAAGCGGCTGCCCTTGCATAACGATATGTCTGCAACGTGAAGTTTGAGCATCGATGGGTGCCACCATTGCCTAAGAGATTATAGGCCAGAAAAATAACGACTGAGAAATGGTAAGCCTATAGCAGCTTAACAAATACACAGCATAAGTTGGCCGGCTAGCGGCCTTGTACGCTTGGCGTACCGTGTGGGAGAAATGGTACATGTTACCGATGGCGTTTCAGACAACGCATTTGAGGATAGCCGCCGCTACTGACAACACACCGCAGACCAATTGATAAACAATGAGCATTGACGTGAGAATGAGGATGATGATGATGATGATGGGGATACACTGGGCTGATGGAAAGCGTGACGTAGTGACGGTGATGCTAAACTAATGTACAATTCGCAAATGTCATTTAACAATGATATGATGAAATGAAGTTAATGTACAGTAATAACTACGTGCAGTATGACTAAACAACTACGATAACCTACATTGGTGACACATGAGATCAAGACCGTACGGATCTAAACAGTCGACGAACCCCAACACGAGTGAATCTGGGTAGTCGACGAACCTGGATAACAATTAACGATGCTATTCATATACTTCTGGAAAAGGCGGTATTTGGCACAGGTCCAGCATCTTTACCGAAAACGTTCGTCGGCTACCGTCTCCACATTCTCTCAAAAACACATATCATCTGGCGGAAGACTGCAATTGCAAATATCCTCATGCCCTTCTTGTTATTGTACGCGTGATGACTTTTGGACAGTAATAACAAACAATGAGTTCAGATTGAAAAAATAGGTTTGCATAACAAGACTGTTTACAGCGATCAAAGTTCCTAAGGATGGATCGAAATATTTACGTACTACATTTGCTAGGCAACTTGAGAAACAGTCTATATGATCCCTAATACTGAAACATACAGTAGTAGGAAGATGCAAATATATATAAAAAGAAATAGAAACTATTCTGGAAATAGTTGCTGTAGCGGATACGTCTTCTTGCTAGAGATTGACCATTAGTGTCGAGCATCGAGGACTATTGAATATCACAACCAGAAGTTTAGGTCTTCCAATGAGGTTTCTTATTTGTTCAACCAAACTTTCTATTGTTTTCCTGAGCAATACACTGGATAACAATGCTACGGGTGGGTGGTTAACGAGAGATAAACTTTTTGATGTAGAATTGCTACATTCAGCAGCCGAAAAAGACCGACTTTGACACTAGCTTCAGCACCTCCAATGCTGTTCTTTATAGATTCAAATAACGGATGCAGGTGCAACAAAAAGCACAAAAAGGTTTATTTCTTCATAGCAACTCGCATGCAATATAGCTTCATCAGACGTCTGCTTCAATGAGTGGCTTCACAGTAGCACTAGAATTGTTCTGGATGTCTTCCAGCACGAAGTCCACCATCTAAACAACCGACAATACAAACAAACTTCATAATATGGGGTTTCTGTAAAGCTGTTCTCTTTTTGGAATGTTCCAGTTGTTCCCAGCCAGCTCCATCGTTCAGCACCCAAACACCCGACCCTGTAAACAAAATGGTCGATAACAAGGCGTTTTTGCATACTGATCTCAGCGTGCATTGCTTATGAATACAATGGACTATCCTCCTTAAAAAGAAGCTTTAATCCAATGATGATTACAAAAGGTGCTTTAGCAAAGCTCCTCAATCATGTGATTTATACACTAGTCGTTCTCAGTCTGCTATTTTATATCACGCGTTGGTATTGGAGACCGCCAAACTTTTTACTAGCAGTTCCTTATTTAAATTACTCCTAACGGTCATCAATGATGCCCCTGCTAGCCCTGATGCCTCTGCCAACCCTCGTTCCCCTGGTGGCCCTTCTGGTCCTGGTCGCTCTGCCGGCCTTCGTGGTCTTGGTAGTCCCAATGATCCTTTTGGCCCTGGTCGCCCATCTTGCCCGGTAGCCCTGGTGGTCCTTGTAGCCTTGTCTCAGGACTCCTTGGCCCTGGCTGTTGCATTCCCTCTTCGGCACAGATCTGAAAGATCATGACACATTTACCATTCGAAGGATAGGTGTCCTAAAATAATGAAAGAACATTAACGTACCGGTGTAATCCCAACAATACCACGATATTCGGGGTCGGTCGAGATAGTGGTAGTGTGTTTCGATTCATTAAGGTCTAATTGTACCGGATTGTGATACGTAGAGATCGGATATAGTGCTTTTTGCACAAATTTGAATGGATACTGGAACTATTTTCATTCTCTAGTAATCTCGCTAAGTTCCACAAACAAGAAAGAAGTTTCCACAAAGAGCTCATTCAGTCCTTGAACGACATATGTGGAAAGGTAGATCAGATAAGAACAAATAATTTATGGAAAGAACGATCCGAACAATTCTAAGCAAGGGCATTTCAAGTTCAACTGAGTGAATGGGAACATCCGTTTTTTTGTTGAGAGTTTCTGCATGGTACCGTGTATGGAAATAGAGAGTATTCTCTAACAGGTATACTCTCCTTCTCTTTAACGCTTATTTTCAGCCAAAAATGACAGAATCTTATTTCATAAATATATCTTACTAATGCTTTCACTGCCTTCTTCTTAGAATGGAGTTCTGGGGAATTGTGGACAATTCTTAATGCCCATGACCGACTTTCTGTTAACCTCGGCATTAATTGATAATTCAATGTTTTTCATCAATAAGCAGACACGAGGTTGTTAATATAGAATTTATTAGAACACAATTGCTGACGTTTCGGCGGTTTCGCCTTCTTCAGAGCCTGGAAAGGTCAAATTGAGATGCGATCTACTCAGCCAAACACTTTCATAACCCTAGCAGATAAAACTTGATAAATCGATTTGTATTCGCATAAGAAACAGCTTCATTCAAACACCTACCGTTTATTTGTTGTAAGTATTTAAGTTAGTTGGTGGATAGCCGCCGCACAGAGTAATACATGGTCGATAACTGGGTCCATGTCAGATCATTGGATCAGCCTGAGGTATGGCGCCAGGTCACGCGTGATGACAAGACACTCCTCCTTGCGGTTCATTTTTGAATTTTTGGCATTGATCCAAAACGCTTCAAGAGTTTTTCGCGCTGATGTTTTCGATTCCTGCGTAAGGATAGTGACTCCTACCTCAAAATCTTCTCCGTTGTGTTCTTGCATCCTATGCGCGCCTAGTGGAGTATTGTGTTTTAATAACTCGAAAGACCGACTTTCTATGAACCTCGGCATAAATAGTTGATATATTTATTTATGAGATCTTATAAACTGATCTTCTTAAGCTGAACAACGACAACG